TGAATATTACCTTGTAGTTTACGTACTTAGCCAGAGGAGGAGTGTTGGGTTACAGGAAGAGGTGGTTGTGTATACGCTTTATGTTCGCCTTGTATCTGAAATAATTTATGTGCATGTTTAACTTGCTATTTAAAAGTCATTGCATTAATGAGATAAATATAAATGCCAGTGACTGCCCCATCTTCAGACTTCGGTCTAGTTTGCAGTAGAAAGTACTTTTTGTAGTTCAGGCCATCAGTCCATCTCAGCGAGACAATGCTAATGGTCATACCAGACAAATTAATACAAGCTTCCCAAATTAAGGAACTGTTCTTGCTAGCATAACTGCAGGGTTTCTGGTAGTATCAACAGGACCTTAAGCTGGGGCTCCAATTCACAAGCAGCATGGTCTACAGTGGGACATATCTAATGATTTCCTGATGACACCTATCCATCCCTCTTTGGAGGTTCTCTGACAGCACAGATCATTCTCTTGTGTCTTGTGTTAGAGTTTAATTCAGTTCAGAATAGTTTTTCATCAATTTGGTTTAATTAGTTTGCATTGGATAATTTATTGTCTAACTGACTATATGTAGTATCTTATGTCATGAGCCCAGTAAGTATTTAAAGAGGAAGCTCTTACCTTCCCATGTGTGCTTCACTACACCTTTGCTTTCTGTGCTACAGGTCAGAAGTATTTACCATCCCAGGCTTATCCAGCCTGGTGCCTGACAAGACCATATTATAACTACCAGTGGTACTGAGACAGCCCTACTTCCCTGATGCAGAACCAGTGATAGTTTTGTTGTTCCAGTTCAGCCCTGCTTTCTGCTCTACACTTCTGACAGGGATCTCTCTGCATTTATCTTTCAATGTAAACCCTCATCCAGATGAAAAGAGGGTGGGATTATTAAAAAAAAAAAAGCAAAAAAGCAGGGACCACTTAGTGAGTCCTTAAAAGACTAGTTTAGTGGCGATTCACTCTATGTAGCAGAGGTGCATTTAAATGGAGTCTTCCATGTAGCAGAGTCTAAGCTGGTTTACAAGCCACATGTGTATGGAAATAAAATACATTTAGCTTCAGTCACAGTGAGATGGAATGTAAGAGAAAGCATAGCAGTGCTCTAATAGAATCTACTTGTGCTCAGGTTTAAACGAAGAACCTTTCTTTTGCTGAGAACCAAACTCCTACAGCAGCTCTTGTGTTAATATCAACACTAGAGTTAATCAGTGATAATGTGGAAAATATAATTACTGTATTGCTCCTACTTTATTTCCATTAATTTGTTGATTTCAGATTGCCCAACTGCTTGCAGTGACTGATAAGTACTGTTTGTGGGTCATCTGGAAGTTACAGGACTAATGTGATTACCATAGCCTTCCTTTATTTGTCTTTTAGGGCAAGAAATAAAGAAACCGCTAGTTGAAAAAAAATCTAGTTTATAATTTTGATAAGTACTAGTAGAGTGGTTCAAGGTTATTTCAAAAGCCTTGACCTCTGAAAAGATTAAGCTCTCTAGAGTGAAAGGACTAGTTTCCCTTGAATCTTCCTCAGTAAGCCTTGCAAGACCAGTGGAAGAAAACCTTTACTGCCTCTTTGAGTCCTTGGCAGTTCTTAATGAGGACAGTCCCTGCCGCAGGCTGCGTCGTGGTGAAGTGCCTATAGTAGAACACATTTCGTAACTTGAAGATGAAATGTCATTAAAGGATTTACCTTCTTAAAGTAAGTTGAAACTGGTCATCCTAGCAAGCCTCCAAGCCCTAGCCATATATGCATGAGAGAAGGTGTTGAGGCATAGCCATTGCTGACAAATGCTGTGGTTGATGAGCATCCTAGAGATGTGTGATGAAGGATATACAGGTGCAGCCTTTGAGGACTGGGTCTAGATCCAGTTGAGGGTTTGATTCAGTATGTTGGAGCAAACTTTTAGGGGGAGGATGTTCCTACAGGAGAGACAGAGGACTGTGCTTGAAGTGATGTTAACAGATTCCTGGAAGGATATAAAGAGGGACTATACTACTGTACTTGAGGCTGGAAAAATTAAAGGTCTTAAAATTTGACTTGGAAATGCATTGCACAGTGCAAGGAACTTCAGTGAGAGAAATCTGATACAGGGACAGATACTCTCTCTCCTGTCCTAAATATGTAGAATGGAGTTCTTTTGCATTTATTGAGCATTCTATACAGCACTTTGAACATGTTAGTGTTAATCTGTTCTCGGCATTTATGTTTTCTCTTTTTCTGTGGTATTTTGGTTTCAGATAGCAATTGAGTCAGACACGTGCTGGGTGGGCCTGGATTCAGGAGAATCCAGTAAACAAGTATAATTAGAATTTAAGAGTTCAGTACTTAGTCCTCAAGATGATTGCTATTCTTTTGTACTATTGCAGTGGACGTTTTCCCAAGAGTTACATTATAGTTGGGTTAGATTTCATTTATTGAGGTGAAAACAGTAGCTGTTGACCTGGTGTGTGCTTTGATCATTTGTGTTAATAACCTCTAACCACTTCCTTCCCCCTACTCCCGTTTTGCTGCTTATAAAAATTAACCTCTGCTATCACTTCAGGGTAAGGTTGAGATTAGCTGCTTTTATGTCTTTTCAAAAGCTCTGTGTAGTTACTGCATTAATGTAATCTCAGGTGGGACATTTCCAAAGGATTGTTCAGTTACACTATATTTTTCTGCTATTCCACATGCTGTTCTCTTGACCCTGAATACATTGTACTACCTTGCAGGTAACTCAGTTTTTCTTGGTTTTAGTCTGAGTGTGCTAGGTTTATGAGATTTTTTAATAAAAACCACATTGTTTATTCCCTTTTTAAGGTGTAATGAACATTTACTTAAAATGCTTTTGTCTTTTTAAGTGGGCCTTCAATTCCTTTCCCTCTCCTAGCTTCATTTGGGTTCCCAGAACAACTGGCTTTTGTACCATCAGCAAAACTTGTAAATGACAAACAGCTGGACTACATGTGTCTAACACCATTCCAGTTCTGACTTGTTGCTAAAGTGAAAACAAATTTAGATTTTTCCCACAGTGCTTTAGTTAGATAGATCTCTAACTGGAGAAAACTGCTACCCTTAAGGATTATATCTTAAGGTTTCTTAAGGAAACAGGCTGTTCTGCATATGCAGGAGAGTTTTCCTTCTCCTCCCCCCCC